GAGCCTGGCTGAGAGCTGCCCCTAGGTACCTCCTGCCAAGACTCTGCTTAGGCAAGCTACCCTGAGACAACCAAAATTTCAGGCAATAATTTTTTAACTTTAATTTTCAGTAATCAGTGACCTCCATGCTCCTGCCCTAAGCTAAGCTGATCATATAATTTCACTTAAAAAAAAGAAAAGCATATCAATGGCATTTTTTCTAAACCAATAAGAACTATTATGTATGTAAAATTGTACATTACTGATTATGCTCTTGAATTTTTAATTATTTCTAAATATCTGTTCCTAAAAGTGAACATGGAATTTATAAATATGATAGATGGGAAATGCACTGTTTAATAGCATTAAATATATTATCTTAGTTGTCAGTTAACAATGTCAATTAACTTCAACAGGTAGGTTGGTAACACACCCTTTATCAACCTTCCTTACTACCTGTTTATAGGAAAAAAAAAAAAGAACTACTTCTTTGTACAGATTAACTGTGGGCACAGTGAAAAGGAAACTGAAAAGTTACTTTGAAGACATTATGTTAAATAAAATAAACCAGACATAAAAAACAAATCTTATTATTCCATCTATCTGAGGTACCCAGAACAGGCAAGTTTACAGAGACCGAAAGTGTATTAGAGGTTACCAGAGACTAGGGACAGAATAATGAGAAGTGACACTTCAAGATTACAGAGGTATTTTTTTGGCATAATGAAAATGTTTTGGAAACGGTGGTGATCGTTGCACAACATTGTAAATATAATCAATACCACTTAACTGTACACTTAAAAATGGTTAAAATGGGGCTGGGGTATAGTTCAGTGGTAGAGCCCTTGCCTAGCCTGTGTAAGGTCTTAGGTTTGATCCTTAATACCACAAAAATAAAAATAAAAATGGTCAAAATGATCAATTTTGTTATATATACTTCACCAAAAAATTTAAAATAATGTAATATACCAAAAGCCATTGAATTATACACATTAAATGAGTGAATTATATGTGAATTATATCTCAATAAAGATATTTTAAAAAAGAGTTCAGAAAAGTTTTATTATTTGGTCTTGAACTATTCAAAGGGCTCTTACAAGAAACAGGGAACAGACTTGCTCAGTGTCAATCTGGGGACAAAACTAAATCTCCAAAGCATAAATGACAGGAGGCAGATTTGCACTCAAAACAAGGAAGAAACAATAGCCGCCGCTGTCCAGGACCTTTAGATGTCTCTCACAAAGAAACCTGGAGTATTTTAGCAAAGGCAGATATCACCTGTCAGGAATGCATATGGCTCTCCAGAGTCCATGAGTGCCTTTATGGTGAAATGCAAAACTGGATTTGTTTTGTTTTCAGGAAAGAGTCCTTATTTTAGATTCTCAAAAGGGACAATAACTCCAAAGAAGGTTAAAAGCCATGACTAGAGGGAATTTCAGCATTCCAAGAAGACTCCACTAGACCTAAAATTCCTTCCAAATCTGAGAATATAATCCCTAATAGACCATATTTCCCTGAATGTAGTGAAAAGAGCACTCAATTACATATGGACAGAAATCACTAGTATCCCTTAATCTGTTGTTTCCCATTCCTCCTGTCCTCCACTCCTTGGCACCCACAAATCTGCTGTCTATGGTTTAATCTATATATTTATATTTTATATAAATGGAATCATAAAATATATGATCTTTTATATCTGGCTTCTTTCACTTAGCATAATGTTTGAAGTTCACCTACATATCAACAGTAGCAGTACTTCATTACTTTTTATGGTAGATCAATATTCCACTGTATTAGTACATATTCTGTCTGTTCATTCAAGCACTGACAGACTTGGGGTTATTTCCATCTTTTTTGAGAATTATAAGCAGTGCTACTGTGAATGTTTGGTATGTGCTTTTTTTAAAAAAAAATTTAAACACCAGTTTGCAATTCTTTTGGCAATATACCTTGGAATGGAACTGCTGGGTGGTATGGTAATTCTATGTTTAACTGTCACCTCACTATGGTTTTGATTTAAACTTCCCTAATAACTAATGGTAGGGACCATCTTTTCAAGTGCATGTTAGTCATCTGGATCTCCTCTTTGGAGAAATATCTATTCAGGTCCTTTGCCCATTTCCTCACTGGGGTATTTGTCTTTTGATTGCTGAATTTAAGAGTTTTTAAAAAAAATATATTTGTATTCTAGACTCATCCGTTCTATTCTTTACAAACATCTTCTTTCATTCTTTCCACCTTCTTGGTAATGTCTCTTGATAAACAAAAGTTTGAGTCAGATGTGGTCATGCAGGCCTATGATCCAGTGACTTGGGAGATTGAGGCAGGAAGATCACAAGTTTGAGGCCAGGCTCAGCAATTTAATGAGGCCCTAAGCAACTTATCAAGACACTGTCCCCTAAAAATAAAAGGGCTGGGAATGTGGCTTAGTGGTTAAGCACCTCTGGGGTTCAATCCCCAGTACCCCCCCCCCAAAAAAGTTCATTTTGATGATGCCCAATTCATGTATTTTTCCTTTTATTTCATGTGTTTGGGTTTCATATCTAAGAATCTGCTGCAAATTCCATGATTTCTTCTAAGAGTTCAATGGTATTAGTTTCATGTTTAGGCCATTTAAATATTAGCCATTTTGAGTTCATTTTGCATATATGAAGACAGACATCTATTTTTTAATATCAAGCCTTTCAAACTTCACATGACCCAAATCAAACTTTTAATATCCCACCACCAACTCTACAGTTCCCAGTGTTTCCTGTCTCAGTAAATGCTCAGGTTAAAAATTTCAGAAGTCATTCTTGATTCCTTTTTTTTTTTTTTAAACCTGTATCCTATTGACATCATCTTCAAATCTTATCTCAAATGAAACAATTTGCCACCTCCTCTTTTACTAATCTGGATTACTGCAACTGCCTTTAACTAGTCTTCCCACTTTGCCTTTGCCTCTCTACAAGTTAACAAGCAGTTAGTGATCCTGTTAAAATTTCTCTGCTCTAAACGCTATCTTAGAATAAACGCCAAAGTTTTCTATGGACTACAACTTCCTGTACAATTTGTTCCTCTTATACATACCCTTTCTGGTTGCATCAACAAGCATGCCCTGTCTTTGCACTTATTGTTTGCTGAAAGATATCTTCATAGGTGGCCCCCTCACCTACTTTAGCTCTTTGCTCAAATTCCCCATTCTAACAAGGCCTTCTCTGATCACTCTACTTAAAATAACAATTACGGACTGTGGCTGTAGCTCAATGGCAGAGCACTGGCTTAGCATGTGTGAGGCACTGGGTTCCATTCTTAGCACCATATAAAAGTAAACAAATAAAATAAAGGCATGCTGTCCATCTGCAACTACAAAAATAACTACGTAAAATAGCAATTATGCCTTCCCTGCTACCACTAATTTCCCTCCAATCTTTGCTTCATTTTTCTCCATGGTATTTATTACTATCTGACACATTATTGTATATATTTTACATGATTGCACCCTCCACCCCCAGAACGCAATCTCCTTGACTAGGGACTTTTGATTTTTTTCAACTGTACCCACCAGTGCTCAAAACAATACCATGCACACAGACCTTCAACAAATATTTGTTGAATTAATAAATAGCATGCTATAGCTATATCGTAACCGCCTGTTGCTATATTCCCCCCAATGACAGCGACACTGGCTATTCACCTCTGTATTCCCAGCACTTAACATTAGTGTTCGGCACATAGTAGGCAATGCTTTTAAATGACTGAATCAACAAGAAAGGCCTATGAAACATTCTCAATCTTTCCAACAATCCCTACTCTATCACTTCCTAAATTTAAGTTCGGTATGTGGGTTACCTCAAAAAGGTTTCAATATCAAGTCCCACGCCCTCACGTGGATTCCCTGATAGCCCCACAATAACCAAGAGAGATTATGAGTAACGGTCAGAGCCTGAACTTTATCATTGTGTAATGACAAGTCCGAAGAAAGGAATAGTGGCCACCAGACTCGAGATCAAAGCCGGCGGGCGGCACGGTTCCGAACAGAAACGCTGTCTTGGGGTGGGGGATGGCAAGGAGAAAGAAAGGCCCAGTGACCACAACTAGAGTCCAAGTCCCAGTTTGACAGCTCAAGAAATGAAAGCCCAGAGAGGAAGGTGACTTGCCCGAGATCACACAGCAAGTCAATCAGGGTGAGAGCCCACCTCATCCCGCCTCCGCGCCAAACCCCAGCCAGCGCACGTGCTCCGAGGTCCCCTCCACCCGCCGGCCAGCAGCGGGTCCCTTCTGTGATCCAAGACTAGCGGACAACAGTGTACGGTACCTCCCAGGGCCCTCGGCCCAGAGCCTGCGGCCGGCAGCGCGCACCGCGCAGGTGGGCCCGGCCGCCCGCTCCAGGGCGCCCTTACCTGGCCGGATCCCGCGGGAACCTGAAGAAGGCCAGGTCGGACTGCGTGCTCTTCCGCGTGCAGTTGGGGGCAGCGCAGAAGTTCGGCATCGTCGCCCGCCTGCCGGCCGGCCCAACCCTCCCCTCCCCGCCTCCTCAGGGCAGCCACCCGCCCGTCGGGGCCGGGGAGGGGAGCCAGGCCGGCCGGCCGGCTCCGCAGGGCCGGCGCGCGGGGAGGGGCGGGCGCGCGAGAAGCCGCGAGGGGCAGGAGGGGCGCGCGGTCCGAGGCCGGGCTGGGGACGCGGCTCCACAGTGCTGTGAGCGGCCGGGAGGATTTACCGCCGCCGCCGCCGCTGGTGCACCTCCCGCCCGCCCGGGACGCTGCCGCCTCCTTCCCACAATGCACTCTGGCGCCCGGGGGTGCCCTCTCTTCCCTCAGTCTTCCTCCCCCGCCCTCCTTTCCGTCGACTTCCCCGCAGCCGGGCACGCGCACGGAAGCGCGCCTTTGCCCGGGTGCGGCAAGGCGAAGGCGGGGCCTGGCGTGGGCTACCGCAGTGCGCCTGCGCACAGCCTAACCCTCAGGGAGCGAGTTGCGCATGCGGGACAGCCTCTCGGGACTCTGTAGCTGGCGGGCGCTAGGTTCCTCCGGTAGGTTTCGCGTGTGCGGGTTTCTGCAGATCTGGGGCGAGCTTGCACGTTACATCACCATTGCATCTCTCCTTGCTTGTTCAAGTTGCCACCACTTTAGGCGTGTGTGGCAGAAGTCGTAGAGATTCTTAAGAGCCGCGGAATTGGGACGACCTTGGTGACCAATTTGTAAACTCCAGGCAGAGCTGCGCGTATGAGTTGGACGCAGACGTGGATGGCAGGGGATTTGATTTTTCTTGACTTTGCAGCTCCTCTTTGGCCCCGTTAGCTTCTCAGATCAGACGTTAAGGGGCGAAAAATTAGAAAAGCAATTACTCTTCCCTGACGGGGTTTCCAGGGGAGAAAGAATAGTGACATGATTATGCCTACAGCCCTATAGAGATTGGTCCCTCTGTCTTCCCCTCATAATTGTGGCCTGTTAACTTTCCTGTGTATACTGCCAAAATGAGTGACCGCTATTTAGAACAAAGGATTAGTATAAAATTTTGCGTGAAATTGAACAAGTCTGCAAGTGAGACCCACCATCTTTTAAAAGAAGCCTATGGGGATGAAGTCATGTCAAGGGCCCGAGTTTTTGACTGGCACAAACGATTTAAAGAAGGGCGGGAAGATGTTCGAGACGATGCACGAAGTGGTCGGCCTGTCACCCACAGGACAGATGAAAATATCCAGAAGGTCAAGGACTTGGTTTGTTCAAACAGGCAGTTAACCGTGAGGATGATGGCTGAAGAGTTAAATTTAGATAAAGAAACCGTTAGACTCATTCTGAAAGAAAACTTGAACATGAGGAAGGTTTCTGCCAAAGTCATATCAGGTATTTTGAAAGATGAGCCTAAACCTGGAAAACTTGATTTGCGATCACATCTGTCAAAGGACACTAGGAAAAACAGCTCATGTGTGAAGAAGAAGTTAACAAGTTCTGAAACATGGAGTCATCTGCAGGGGGAAGCTGTTGGGGAAATGCCTCTGTCTGTGTCCCGTCCCAGAATCCATTACCCTGACAACCAACCTCTGCAGCCATCATCTTCTGCCAGCTTTCCCATCAGAGTGGCCCAGGATTGGTTCACACCCTGGTGAAAAGAATCTGAGGGTAGCTGAACCTGAGCTAGGAAGTTGCATCACTGTTGGGCAACTTCATTTGCTGCTCCTGTTTCCGCTCCTCCTTGCTGGCATGGCCTTCCTATTTTATGCTGGACTGTGGCCATCTCCCTTGTTTTTCACCACTTTGAAGTGCTTTGGTTGTTGACTTCTGTTGTTTGCTTCTTTATATTTCTCTTGCTTAACAAGTTTGGATCTCTTCATTGCCCATACGTCAATTTGTTGTGGCTGTCCTGTTCTTTTGTTCTCAACGTTCTGCCTCAGGGGATCATCCATATCTTTGGGCACAGGGAGAAATTTCTTCTGAGAGGACCCCAAAAGGCGTACTGTTTCATTTACTTTGCAGTCAGAGCCTAAGGTATGATACAGAAGGCAGTGGACCTGTTGAACAATCTGGGTCAAAGGCCCAAATGACTGGGTAGGAGCCCCTCAGAACTGGGGGGGGGGGGGGTGGCCACCAATACTGATCTTCTTTTGGACCTCCCTTTCACAGAACAACTGGATCTGTTTCATTCTAGTCTTGAGCTTTGGCCCCCCATTTATTTGGGTTTCCCCTCACTGGAAGAGGAAAATCTGACCCTAGGAAATATAAACTAGGGGACGCAGGCCAAGACTGATATGTGAGGAGAAAGACCAGATGATTCTCCAGACCCTAAATTAAGGGAGTCCGCAGTCTATTTGGTGTGTTTTGAGCACCTGCTGGGCAGTGACAATGTAAAGTTCTTAAATGAGATCACCAGGTGCAGTTGGGCTTCACAAAGGAGCTGGTTCTTGAACTGGATTCATGAGGAAGGGTGAGACAAAGGGCTATGAGATTAGGGAACACTTCCCAGGCCGGTGAAACAGCATGAGGCTGGCAACCTGAAAGTGGCCACAGAAAGTGATGATACTTGGCTAAAATAACAAAGATTAAAGGGGAAGGTGGTGGTATTGCAGAAGATGAATAATGGGAGATAATTTGCTGTCCTTAACTCTATGCCTGCTGGCAGTTTATAAATTACTTCCCCGAGTCTGTGAGTAGGTTTATGATAATGCATTTCTTTGGTTATCTGATTTTCCCATTGAACCTCAAAAAGTAGTCTCTCTGTGTCCAAACTGTCTTCTGTGTTCCTGCTGCTCTGCTAGGACTTATGGATCGGAACTTTTCCCCAGGGGCTTCCAACTATTACCACATAAACTATCAGAATGTCTGATAGGGAACAGGAGAAGCCAGGGGGTAATAGCATTTCACAGCATTGGTTGGTGTCTGTGTTACCCAAGGATTTTGAAACAATAGCTCCTCTTTAACAAGTAAGGAACTAATCTAAAGTGGGGAATAATAGAGGATCCACACTTATTCATTCCACACAAGTAACTTTTAGTTCCGTTCTTTCATTGTCTACCGCTTTCAAAAAGTTAGAAACTACTCTCTAATACCTGTCAGTTTGGAGACACTTTGAAAGCTAGACCTTGTGCTACAAAGAAAAGATAATAAGAAAACTCTTAAACCCAGCAGATTTCCAACTACTTGCAATTTCTAGACATTTTGTTTTAGGACCATTAAGTCTTCTTACCTCAGACAAAGTCCTGGGTTCCCCATAAGCACACTGGACTTCAGGAGCAAATCCCCACCACTCATTGTTGCAATTTTATTGCTGAATTTATTTATCCTGCTCAGGCCCTGTTGTAATAATTGCAGAATCACATGTTCCTGGGCGCAGGCTAGAATCCCACAACACCTGAAGACATTAACTCCAACCTATAATAACACAGAGGTCCTGCAAGAACTTATTTCTGGGTTTTATTGCATTCCCTGTAAGCAGGACTGGGATAATGATGCTGCTCCCTGGTGATGATGCTGGACCAAGACCCATGCAGGAGTGTAGGATACCAGAAGTGAAGTTGGCCCAGATAGGGTTTGAACACAGAACACCTGGAAGTAAGGTAATTGGGAGTGTGAATTCAAATTTTTCCAAGTGTCTGTCATGAAATGGACAGCTTATATCCTTAGATGATGTCCTAAATAGTCATTGGTTGAACTACTACTTGAACCCATTGTCTCTTTGCAAGGCTTCCCATAAAATATTCAGTGATAATGTCATGCTTCAGATTTTTGAGAAGTAAAATTTCTGTCCTAAAACTCATCCAGAGCAATGTATTCTCACATAGTACTCAAATCGCTAAACCCAAGACTTCCACATGATCGCCTGGAGTATCCAAGGGAGTTCTTAGAACTCCTTATGTACCCACTTGCCAAATGTACTCCATTGCTGACCCACATTTACCCTGGCATGCACTTGTGGGCCAGGTCTCTTGAGCTCCTGATCTTGTAATCTCAAATCCAGCCCTGCATCACACTCGAGGCTCTTGTCTTTAGCTCATGCATATACCCCTCTCAATTTATTCTTCACCAGTTTGTTTTCTGGTTCTGGACCACACCTCCAAGAGCACCTTTTGGCCACTTTGATGTGTTGATCCTTGAATTGCTCTTTTGTTAAGGTCTTTCACTCAGTTTACTCTTATTTCTCTGAATTTTGGGTCCCTCTTCAAGCTCTCTGCTTTAGCCACTGTGCCATTGGAGCAGAAATTGTCTGCTCTACCCCTACCCACCTCTCAAGAAGTGGGTAGGGCAACGAGGGGAATATATGTTCTGGATTTTTTTTTTTTTTTTAATAAGGGGCATCGGTGCCCAGGAGGATGGGAGGAGGTCCTTGCCTCTCTTAGCCACTGTTGGTTGTACTCCCCAGATGCAACTAGTTTCTCAAGAAAGCAATCTCCTTACCTCTGGCCCTGAGAATCATGAGTATTCAGAGCTATAACATCCAAATCCCATTCTCCCAGCCACTGTATTCTGCCTGGCAGGAGAAGTTTCACCTAATTGCAGATCAAGCGTGGCTCTCTGTGGGACATTAGGAGAAGAGTTGGCAATCTGCAAACCTTGACCATAATTCTCAGGCTTAACACAATCAGTGAATCTTTTTGGCATTTAGGTAGATCTTCCCCTACCCACCCATATTCTCACTCCCATTTTGATTCAGAGTCCACATGGAATGTTCGGTGCCACAGCTAAAGTCCAAGAGGAATAGATTGTTCTTGGGGCAGATCATCCCATCATTAATTTTATCTAATTCTCTCACTCTCCACCCTGCTCCATTTACCCCATTAAAAATTATTTTAAAAAGAGAAAAAAATAAAAATTTCACCAATCTTTGAGAAAAACACAAGGACAGTTCTATAGTCTTCTAAATTCTGCCCCTGGCTCTGAGTCCTCTTTGAAATGTTATCTTTTGGGAAGAATGTATACCTGGGACCTACTTTCCAGAGCCTTCCTTTCAGATCCATTTCTTTGTCAAAGTCCACACTTGATATGGGAGATGCCCAGATAAGTCTGGATTCTAAATGACTTGAGGACACCTACTAAAGGAGTGGATCACTATTGGGGAACTGTCTGTCACTCCGTTGCATACACGATTCACTTTGCCTGCTCTTTGCAGATATCATCACCAGCAAGCCTTGCTAGGCTCCCTGGGATTACGTCTCACCAGGATCTTAGTTAGAGAGCCTCCCTTTGCTCCTGAACTATGTTATTCTGCATTCTTCAACTACTGCTGCAGGGATCAGCCCTCCTAGATTTTACCAGGCTTTTACATCTTATCGGAGGCAGTCCTTCTATATTTATGTTCTCTCTAGTCTCTGCCTTATCAGATCTTTACAAATACTGTGCAAGTTGTATCACCCAGTATAAATATCCAGAAACAATCTAGTGGGGAGCTTCAGTACCTCCAAGGACCCACTTGGGTCTACTGAAGGGTCAGCAGACTTCTATAAAGAAAGCATCCTAGGCTCTGTGTGCTCTATCATCTCTGTTGCAGTTACTCAACATGTTAGTGCTAAAGTAGACAAAGCTAATATGAAAACAAAGGATCATGGCTATGTTCCATATGAAACTTTATAAAGGGATACTAGAATTTGAATTTCACATAGTTTTTACAAAATATAATCTTGATTTTTTTCCCCAACCATCTAAACATATAAAAAAAAATTGTTGGGCTGGGGTTGTGGCTCAGTGGCAGAGTGCTTGCCTAGCATGTGTGAGGCACTGAGTTTGATTCTCAGCACCACGTATCAATAAATTAAAAAAAAAAAAAAAAAGGTCCACTGACAACTAAAAAAATATTTAAGAAAAAAAATTGTTTAGCTTATAGACCATGGAAAGACAGGTGGTGTACCAGACTTGGCCCATGGGCCATAGTTTGCCTACCTCTGATCGTGTGTGTGTGTGTGTGTGTGTGTGTGTGTGTATGACAGATGATAGCTTGTTTTCCATCAATAACATTGTTAAGGCCAAGTGGATCTGTCAGTGTCTGACGATTTACTATACAGAAATTGTGGAATCTTGAGACCAAAAGAATGACCTAGAACTGAATGATTGGCTATTTCACCTTGACCATATTCCAGTTCACAAAATGAATTTTGTGCTTTTTGATTAAAAATGATTTTTTGCAAACTACCACCTGTGTTATTCCCATGTAATATCTCAAAACCTATTTTGGCAATATTAGAAATGGTGCCAAGTTACAATTGGCAATAATGGAATGGACTAAAGGTAGTTCTGAAAATGCTTTGACCATGGCATTTGAATATGTTATCACCTATTAAAATGTGTACTATGGAGGTGGCAAAACACAAATTTTTTTGCAAGTTTATAAAAATAAATACTATATATGGGTGTGTATATGTATGTATATTTTCGTGTATATATATATATATTTGTGTGTATATATGTATATGTGTGTGTGTATATTTTTTTTAACCTTGTAACTGGTGCCAGAGTATGTA